ATATATATATAAGGGAAATTGAGAATTATGGAAAACAAACTCATGAATTAATAGTAAGAAAGTCAAAAAAAATGGAAAACATCTTAAACGAAATATTTAGGGCGTAAATTCTCATTATGTTTTTGTAGCTAATACTAATAATCGTAAGAATCAAAACCACATCCAAAAAAAAATGTCAGTTATGCTGTAAGTCTTAATAGTTAGATCGAATACAAGAACCCTGTGCTCATTCCACATAGTCGACAGCAAGGTTTGAGTCTTTTCTCTTCCTTTCCTACGCCCATTTATGTTCAAGGAAATTTTGTGCAGTGATTCTAATTCGCTTCCGATTTTTTTTTCAAATACATGGCACTTTCTTAAAATAAAATACAATTTAGTTTAATCCCCATTAACGACAACATAGTAATAAAAATATTTCTTTTCGTTTTAATATATAATAACAAAAGCGTCAAAATAATTTCAAATCGATTTGGCTATTTTTTTTCCCCTCCAGATTATTCCAATAAGACACTTCTTAAAATTCACACCTATTATATTTTACCTTCTCGGCATTCAAACCGAAAAAACCGCTCTTAACCCATTCTGTCATTCTTTCTCTGTCTCAAAATATTTGCAAACAAGATGACAAAAAAGAGCTTTTCACAACTTAAATGAAATGTTAAGATATAAAGAAAGCGCAAAAAGTAGTTTTACGGTGTTTTTTTCTTGAATACAATATATTTAATTACTTTCATTTAATTTTGCCCTAAAATACTCGCAATATAGTTACCATTAAAAGAAATTGCAGAACACTTTCTTGTATTCACAAAGATTGTAACTTATAGTGATACCTAAAACACGTTCATGTATCAATATTGTAAACAAGTGTAAATATGTGAAGGTGTCTACAACTAACGTGAAAAAGGTTCACCATTATGAAGTTCTTTATCGACAAAAAGGGTAAAACATCCAAGCCTGAAGAAGTTGTATTATACAAAACATCGATTAAAACGAAACTGTAAAGAAAAGGAATAAAACAGTCGGGAACTTAATATTATAAAAAAGTTCACATACATATAGATTTATATAAAAACGTATCAAAGTACGTTATAGGCAGACTTCAAAGGGAGATGTATATCCTCTTATTATGCAACCTTTGTTCCATCTAGTGCTTCTGATCTCATTCATGCGACGTTTAAAAAATGCATCCATCTTGTTGCAACCTTTGAGTATTGTTTCCTAACAACAACAAAAAAAAGTTTACCAAACATTAGAAAAAAATTAACAAAATAAAAAAGATGAAATAAAACAACAGCAAAAATCATACAGAGAAAAAAAGTACAAAAAGCTCCACCAACATCGAAAAGCAAGAAACAGACACAAGCAGAACTACAGGTAAAGCATCTGTATTAAACTAGCCAAATAAGAAGGAAAATAAAATAGAGTAAAAGAGCCCAATTAAGGTAGTAAATAAAAGTTATACCTGAAAAAATGAAAGGAAGCAGGGAGAAAAGACATGCCACTAGATATACGTAGAAATTCATATAGATTGGTGTCAATCGATATGTAAAATTGCGTCTGTGTGCTGATGTCTTCTCAAACCCTGATAACAATAGGAAAAATTAACAGAAGAAATGGAGCTTCACACCTTTTCGACCATTGCGAATTTCCTTGTTCTCCTTTCAATCCTCCGTTCGCAGTCTTCTACTCGTACCGAACGCTGGAATAGCTGTAGGGGTCGAAGCGGTAGCGTGTGGGATAGGCCGGAGGGAGGGCGTGTTCGTCGACTAGCCCGACCATATCCTCCTGGATCGCGATTTCGTACGCCGGCGGTGGCATCCCGGCGGAGTCTGAGACGCCATCGCTGGATGAGGCGTCAAGTTCGGCGCTGTCGGACTCGACCCGCCGCATCGCGGTCGTCGTCGGTACGCAGGCGTCGTCATCGCGGGTGGTGAAGCTGGCCCTGCGGCCGTGGTTCGGGCTGAAGGCCTCGGCATCCCCGGTGGTGGGCGACCGCGTCGCGGCGTCACCGTGGGAGAAGGCGCAGCGCTGCTCGAACGGGCAGGGCAGGCCGAGCGCGTAGTTGCGACACACCTTCGTCTTGAGCTTCGTAGGGTCGATTCGCTGCGCACGGCGACGCGAGCCTCCTGCGTAGTCGGCAGGGGACTCGGTGTACAAAGGGGTCACAGCAGTAACGTTCTCCATAGCGAGCACCAGGGAATGAGGGTGGGAATGGGAAATGACACAGAAGGTGGCGAGTCGAGGTTTCGGACTGGTCCTTGCGTGTTCGGGTTGGACGTGAAGGTGTAGACTGAAGCGAATGGAATTCTAGTAGAGGTGTAAGGCGGCAAGAAAAAAGAGAGGAGAAGGGTAAGGGGAGGTGAGAGAGTGAGTGAGGCGAAGGAGAATGAAAGGGATAACGTAGTCCCCCCCCCCCTGCTTCCCAAAAGAAGAAGGGAAAATCATATCAAAAACATCACATTGAGTAAACCGAAAGTAGAATAAAATTAAAACAAAAGCAGTCCGTATACAAATGTCTAGTCAACAAAAGAAGAAAATTAAAATATAGCTGATTAAAACTGTTAACACAATGATTCTTCTGTCTGACATTATCATAGGCTCTGTGAATCTGCTCATGTGTTGGCTTCCTATTTGCCTTTAGCAAGCGGCGGAGGCTCTGTCGCTCGGTTTCTTTGCTCTTGAGCCGAAAAGGTCAATGAGAGTGCTTCAGCGGCAGTTTGATGTTGGGAGGGCAACGTAGAGGCCCCAGAAACGCTACCAATTAGGCGTCCCCCTGCCTTCCCATCTGAGTGCGTGGAGGGGAGAAATAGGTCGTGGCTTTGGTCCTTGTACTTCCCCCAGACCGGGCTCTGCCGCAGCTCATTCTCGACATCAGCCCCGTAGATCGGATCGCGGAGGTTTACCATCGCCTTGATAACCTTAGTGATACGCGCGCGAGTCGCCGCTGGGGTCTCCTGCGATTCATTTCCCGTCGTCTCGCCGTCCTTGAGCTGCTGTAAAAGCCTCCCCACTAAGTCGTACCGCGCTGCCAGCGCAAGAACGCCAAAGCGCGGCGACGAGGAAGTGATGTACCTCGCAAGGGCATCGAGAAAGAGCGGCTCGGCGGCGGGGTGCTGCGCGCTGAGCTTCAGCAGCGGGCCGATCGCATCCACTGGCATTGTTGCCTCCAAACACTCCGTCGACGTCCACAACTCGTTCAGCCATCTCAAGGCCGACGTCGCCAGAACTTCAGAGGGAGAGGTCAAGAACGACACCAATTTGTGTATGTACCCTAGGCTTGAGCAGTAGTATTTCAGATCGTTGGAGGAGCTGAGGAGATGCATACCGGACTGTGTGAGCAGCTCAAGAAGATGGGCACTATCCGGCGAAAGATCGGAAACGCCCTGCGCCCGTTGGCCAACTTCCACATAACGGTCCAAAAGCGCTAGAAGAAATTCTTTTGGCTTTCGAACTTGCCACATCGGGCTCTGCACGTACAACGCAAGAAAGACCCCACCCACCTGAATCTCCTCTGCCTGTGTTTTCTCTGCAACGTCTAATTCAATTGGAGGTCTCCACGTCCGCAGGAGATCCTGCGTAAGCATGCGCACGATGTAATCCCGGAGCATCGACACCCGCTGCACGAATCGCTCCCGCCGATCCTCGTTCCAAATAAGCTCCGGCGTCTGCTCTCGTGCGTCTAGCATCGTGCATGCTTGTGCGGGATTAGTGTCCTTAATAACATCGATAAAAATTTGAGGGAGGTACTGCGCGCAGATCAGGTACAGTTTAGGCCCGACGAGCTTATTACAAAGAGCCTTTCCAAGGCACACACAACTCATCTCTCGAATTTCCTTGGCGCTACTGGTTGCGTACTGTAGCAAAAGAACCAGATACATTCCACAATCCATAACGTCTTGTACCATAGGCCGATAGGCAAGCAGCCGCATTAAAAATTGCAAAGATGATTTGTGAACCTCAACCTCGGCAGGGCTGCCTAGCAGAATTGTCAGTCGAGAAATTACAAAACGCACCCTGCAGATCGACTCTGTAAAATATTCCAAATCCATCAAGTGCTCAAGAAGATTCAAGGCTGGTAAGAGTATCTCGGCGTGGAATGAAATGTCAAGCAGCTCGACCAGCACAACGACGTGCTGCTCTGAAATTTTTTCAATTTTGTGGAAGTGGCCTTGAAGAAAGTATTTTAATGACGTTACGATGAGTGAAAGACGTGATAACGAAGCAGTGTTAAATAGGCAAGCCTTGAGGTCTGTGATAAGCGCGGAGAAGAAAGCGACGTGGTCCTCAATGTAGAACTCTGGTTGGGCTTTGTATATGCGCAGGAAGATACCCCCTACCTGGATTTCATTTTTGTGCAGCGTGTAGGAAAAGTCCCCATCACACAGCAATGATATCGCGTCATACCCTGATATTTCCCCTCTAAGGCAGCGGTTGGAATTTTCCTCCAGCAACTCCTCCAGCTCCGCACGACAGGTGTGATTCCAGTAGAACTGAGGATTCTCGGAATGTTCATTTAGATAAGAAATCACCTCAATTTCTCGACCAGGTACAGTAGTAATGATATTAAGAAGATAGGGTGGTAGCAGTCGCGTTAGAAGACGACGTACCGCGTCGTCGGGCTTCGTAGCGAAATAGCTGGTATCCGGTGCGTATCCCGCAAGAGCGCAGAGCACCCTCATCGCCAACACCGCCATGTGATTTCTGGAAAGTTGAATATGGTGGGACTCCTCCAGCTCCACCCCCGCACGCTCCAACGTTGGATCGTACCAAAGCAGAATTCTTAACAGATACCAGGGCGCCCCCGCCGTAATCAGCCGCGACTGCAGCTCGGGATCCCGGCACTGCGCCTCACACGCCTGAATACACGCGCGTGAGAGCTCGAGGACGTTTTCGTACGTCACGCCTTTCGCTGTGAGTTCTGAAAGGCCGGAAACCTCGCGAATCCCGCGCTGACAGTCCTCAAACTGCGCAACGGCGGCGAAGGTCCACATGCAGTGCACGGCAGCCCTCACGTGAACCGCATCCGGCCTGGCGTTGGGGGTGATGAAGTCAAAGCAGCGGGAGGTGAGCTCGCCGAGGAGTGGAATCCCGCCCTCCGCTCGCAGCTCGTCCGCGTTGAGTGGGGCGTTCTCGACCGTAAGGCGGCAAAGCTCGATGGCGGACAGGACGAGAAGTACGGGCTTCCGCAGCATCTCACAATCGTCCAGTTCGGTTCGAAGCAACTTAAACAGGAGCTCATATCCAGCGTATTTGTACGTTTTGAGGTTTTCCGCGCACCGCTTGAAGAGGATGCACTGTGATTGCAGAATAAGGTTGATATTATGTGGATCCGGCTTGTCAGAATACGCGGTATCATTCATGAGAAATGTATAAGCTTCGTGTATCGCTTGAAATCGCTCCTGGCCATTGGGGTTCTTGTCAGGATGATAGCGCATAGAGAGTTCAAAGAAGGCCTTGCGAATCTTCGGCGGTATCACTGTCTCGCCGGACGGCGCCAGCTCCAACGTGTTCAGACATGCTTCACGAGAGAGACTGCACTGCTTTTTATTGAGCTCATCCCGCCAGGCAGTCAGAAGATCGCGCAAAAAGGCAACGTGATCACGAATAGGCCAATTGTGATACCGCTGCGTATCGCACAGATGACGTAGATAGTAATTGGTGCAGAAAAGCTCCTGCCCCAGCTGTTGATACATAATGTTGCCAATTGGGCAGTACTCATAGACCAAGGTGTTATTGCTAAAAAGACGTGGGAGGAAGTCGGCGATGTGGGCCGTGATCTTGCACGCCAGATGCAAGCGCATGCTTTCCCCCCAGATGATTTCGGGAGTTTCGTATTCGCCAAGAAAGACCTCGGCGAAACGCTCGGGGCCGTGGTTCTCCAGAAAACACACCATCGCCTGAGGTAGCAGTGGTGCGAGGACGCTCTTTTGCGTCACCGCGCCGCTGTTCACGTGATACACAATGGATTGATGGTGATGGGTGAGGTCTAACATGCGAGAAAACGGCAGCACGTCGGAGGCGGTGTAGACAAGCGAGAAGTAATAGTACCCTGTAAAGAAAAGATAACTCATGAGTGGATTATCCTCCATGATACTGTAGAGAAGCCTATTTACCCGCTCGCACACCGCGGAGTCAAAAGTGAGCAATAACTGCACGATATACGGCAGGACGGTCGTACTACTAAGAAAGCGCTTCACTCTTGGAAGAGGCTGCATAATAGCACCGCTTGAATTGCGTGATGGGTATTGATCGCAAATATACTGAAAAATATCCAAGACGGTACAGGTTACCGCTGTATAGCTGAGGATAGATGGCATCTCCTCGCAGAGTATCCCCCAACGTAGCTGGGGAACCTCCCGAAGTTGCTTCCATTCAGACATCCCCTGCGCCCACACCCTCGTCGTATCTTGTATTTCACCCATCACGTAGAGTTCGCTAAGCCTAAGAAAGGATACCAGCTCTGATTTTGATCTGCCTTTCTCGTAGTACCACTCCTTTTCCTTCCCCCGAGGCGCTTCCATCGAGTTACCGGGCGCAATCGCGTTCGTGGCGGTGCGCATCGGCGGGCGGTCAAAATCGAGATTCGCCAAGGTGACCAACTCGACCAACGACTCTAGCCCATCGGCGTCGAGGAAGAGCTTGACGTTATGCCTCGCCTTGAGGGCCTCACTAAAGAAAAGCAGGAGCCGATCTCGAAATAACGGCTCGGTCGTCGAGCGGAGAATGCGCACGAAGTGAGAGAAATCAGACAGCCCCCCAATCGCCATCTCGTGGAGCTTGTACAGCTGCGCCATGCCGCGGAGGGCCTCGAGCTTCTCCGGGAGCCTTTCCTCAAGAAGGAAATGGTGGTAAAGATCATCAAAAAACTCCTTCGGCCGCGCGATAATCGAGTTGGGGTTTTCAAAGAGCAAACGAGGGTAGTGCTGGCCAATCTTTACCTCCTCCGCGAGGGAGTGGTAGACCACCTCGAACTCTTGGTGGTTCCACGCTACCGCTTGCTTGCTGTGAAAGCTATGACCTGAGCAAAAAGCCGTCAGCTCCGCCTCAATCGCATTGCTGAGCTCGTTTCGTGTTGTTTGATTCCAAATAAGATCCGGGCGCATGTGGTTCTGCTTGATTTGATAAAAGAACAGCGTCCAGTTGAGCCCTGTGCTCGGCCGTACAGAGCGAGAACGCAATCGCATTTGGCTTCCGTTTTCGGCCCCGCTGTCAATTGCCATAGCGCCTCCAGCGCATGTACCTCCGTTTTGAGGGTAAAAAGACCGCTGGAAGAACCCGCTTTTCGCCTCCCGGTAGGCGTCTGTCATCGGATGGACTTCTTTCTGTGGCACCAACTCCATCTCATCCTGTGGCGGCTCCTCAGAAGACTGCAGGAATCGCAGCAGTGTAACAGGAATCATACGACGGAGTAAATCCTGCATCGGGGTATTTTTAAAGGCCCAATAACCCAATAACCGCCGCGCCAGATCGCGCGACCGCCGGTTTTGGCCAAAGGCAGCGACGTTAAACTCATGCAGAAAACCACCCTCTGAGAGAGAGGCCTCCTGCATGAATTCAAAATTCGCATCATTACCTTCTTCCATACTCACCCTAATAAGCCGTCCGGCTGCGTAACGAATCGTATCGCACGGGTGTGCAAGAAGATCAAATAAGCCTTTACCAACAAACCGCACCATTTTGCACATGTTCAACTCGAAAATTCCTGGGTCGGTGGTTTCACTGTAGGGTGGGCAAAGTAGATACTCGAAAAAGTTCAAAAGACTGAGCACCACTAAGGAAGGGCCCTCACTGTGAATGCTTTTTTTAAGCAAAAGAATTAGAGCGTCGGAAAAGCTTTCCGAGCCCATAATGCGGTTTTTGTTAATCATTTCGTGCTTGATTTCGTAGTTGTTATGATGAGGCGTCATGAGGGTGTTGAGAAACTCCAAGACGCTGTGGGTCAGTGAGGCATCTTGAAGCTGGAGAGCGTGCTCGACGCGCTTTTCGACTTCTTTAGCGAGCGTTGGCACCAGGGCAATCACGCCGAACCCCGCTTTCGATAAGGTAAGCCTCCGAAGCGCGTGAAAGAGCTGCTCCAACTCCACCGAAACGGAAGTATGGGGAAAACGACAGAGAAGGGACTTGACGGCTTGAAAAATAAGCTTTTCACGATTTTCGCTAAATACACTATCCTTATTCTCACTCCAGCTGAGGCCGTTGTAGTCGATATTCGCGTTGAAGAACTCGACAGCGGTCAAAAGCGCCGAGCTGGAGTTGTTGATTTTATCGGGCTCATTCAGATAGATGAGCAGTATTTTCTCGATTTCCTCCGGGACGGCCATGCAGAGCGGGACGAAACGCCTCCCGCGATCCACCCCGTCCCTCCGCACGCACACGCGGGTATTCCCGGCTGCCCGGCAGGCCTCGAGGAGGTGCGCGAGGAGGCTATCCCGGAGTGGGCAGGAGTAGATCTTGACGGTGTCGGGCGCCGCAAAGACAACCCCGAGGAGCTGCTCCATCGTGGGGAACCGAAGGAGGGCGAGGACGCTCGCCAGCGGGCGCGCGCTGCGGCAGTCGTAGCTCCCCGTGTCCCGCTCCACCAGCAGGCCCTGGGGAGTGGTGCCGAGGAGGCGGTAGAGGGGGATGCCGGGGTGGCGCCGGCTCAGCTTCGAGACGCGGAAGTCCACGGCGGGCTCGAGGGCGTCCGTCCTAATGCCGAGCCGCGTGGCGTCGAACTCGGCCGGGGAGAAGGCCCCGAGGGGGAAGGGGGGGGGAAGGCCGATGAAGCGCGAGGTGTGCAGGGTGAGGCGGTCGGCCAGGACCTGGAGGGCGGGGCCCTGAAAGCGGTGCAGCCGCCTCGCCCCCTTCCCGCCTGTGACCATCACGAGGGTGTGGGGGTCGCCCTGGATGGAACCCAGGCCGGTGATCTGTGTGAAGACGTACGCGCCGAGGACGGCGCCGGTGGAGAGGGAGAGCTGCTCCACCGCGAAGCTGTTCACGCGCAGGTTGATGGGGTGGTAGAGGTGGTCCGCGCGGTACTTCTGGGCCGCGAAGGTGCAGGACGCCAACTGGCGCGCGTGCGTCGGGTCGAACTTCTCGCGAAATCGCTCAACGTCCGTCAGCAAATCCGCCCGATCCTCCTTGGATGTGCAAGTAAAGCTCATCTTGCTCACTGAGGCATTTGGCGTCGTTTTGACAAAAATACTGAACTGGACGGTTGAATCGGGATCGGGGGAGATGTTTATGAATCCTGTTAAATACGGAAAGTCATTGGTGACCTGAAATAACGTCTGAGGATGGGTGGTAGTGATACCATTAGCTCCAATGCAGAATACCCGGGTATACTTTCCTCTCCATGAATTTTTGACTACGATATAACGTGAAACATAATCGCAGGGCTGCGATGAAGCTGTCGGAGAGAGGGAAGTTAAACACGACAACGACAAGTGCGCGTCAGTCAAATTAGAGATATTGATGTCCATTCCCGACACGTAAGCTCTAGGGTTTGCTTATAAATAATACCTATGATAATGTAGAAAAAAAAAAGTAAACCCCAACAGACAAAAGATGTATGAGTGTGTGTACTTTGCTTTAGAAAACCTTATCTGCCTTCCTTTATTTCTTTACAATTGGCACCTCCTTTGCAAGATCATATAGCAGGCTCACGTATGGGAAACTCACTCGTAAAGTTTTTTTAGGCTTATATTTTGAAAAAAAGAGAAAAGTAGATAAAATAATGAATTTTGTACCTAATGATTACAGGTCTTCAGGTTTTTAACACTTCTTTCAGAGGTATACGAACACATAAAACAAAGGACTGACCCCTATCTGCTTTTGGATTTTGCTTTGAACACATATATATTGATGCATTCCTGAGTGAACAACATTTTCGTAAAAAATCCAATACTTGCAGCTTAGATAATTTAGCAAATAATGTTGGAACCACTAAACTTTGGAATTACACTATGAAAACTTCTCATAAGGATTAAGTCATAGATTTTAGGGGTGTTCAATTTAATGGTATTCACTTCTCACGAAAGAGCAAAATACCAAAAAAAATCAAAGTTCAATCCCATTCGATTCCTTTCATGATATCTAAGTAGGTTTTCAATCATGAAGAAGTTCAAAAGAATGTTCTTCCTACCTCTTACTGAGTCTTCTAGAAAAAAAAAAATATGCGTCGGTAGGAAGCCATGAGGGCTAAAAACAGGGTAAGATTATCTCCATTCATGATGTATTTACGTAGTCAAGCTCCAATTCCCCCACCCCTTCCCCACGCCCCTATTTTATTTACGCACCTACCTCGTGTGCAATCCAAATGCATATGTTCCATAAATGTCCAGCCCTCTTGCAAGCAAGAACTAGAAGGAGAGAAAAAGGAGAAAACTTTGATGTCCATGAAATACTCACCCTTCAGAATAAAAAAATGTAAAAGAAAAAAATAAACAAAGTTAGCATTCACATTATGTGCAAGCGGCGTTTTGATAAGGTACAAACAACTGATAAGAAAAGAGAAATGCAAACAAATTAAAAGGTTGATTTTAACCTTTCTTCACTAAACAAGGGGTCTCTATATGCTATACGATAACGATGCAGCTCAATCGACGCATATGATATCGTAAAATAATAATAATAAGGATAACTAGACTAAACTCTACCTCACTTCTACCATTTGACGTTATTTGAAAGTTGAAGAGACATAACCCTCTTCCACTTGCGTTACTAATTGTTACCTAGCCCTTGGTTACCTATAAAAAAAAAACGATACCGGTCTATATGATTTTTCTTCATTGATCATTTTCTTTTTTATGATTAATAACCAAACCCACAGCGTATGCCATGATGGGGGACCAAAATAGGCTGCAATAATGAAAATGTTCCAAAAAAGATTGCCATCATGGGCACTTCCTTTGCCAGCGTTGATCCTAAACCTCGGCAAATAGCTGAATCATGAATCACCGTCTGCAAATAGCGGTGCGCACTATACGGATAACAAAACGTAGACGCCACCGCTGCGGATACGCCACCGATGAAGAAGTTTGTAGCCGCGGTTCGCATGTAAATATAAGAACTGTATTGCAGATGAAATGTATTAGAAAAGAAAGTTGAGGAGAATCCTACCTGTGAATGATCCTCTGTGGAGGAAGCGGTTATCGCCTGCAAAGGGTACCCGTCCTTTGGTAAGGGAAAATTATTCCTTTCCGAAAAGCGCCGCAATCCCTCAAATACAGTAAGTAGTGTACCGTAATAAAAGGCATTTGCGAAAAAATTCGGCCCTACATACCAAAATTGCAGGATCGTCTTGTTGTACAGCATACGCATAACCTGGTGCCAGGGCATTCCCGTCCGCAAACTCTCATCCATGACGCGAGAAATAGGATTGCAGATAAAACGCATGTGAAATCCCGCGCAGGCAGCCACCAAAAAAGTAGTCGCCATCTTTATAAAAGGAGTATCTTCTAAGTCAGGGAGCATATGAGAGGCCGGGGAGATGTAGAACATCATCAAAATGCCCAACTGCAGGGTCCGGCGGCCGACAGCCTGCGTGGCGCCCTTCAGACCGCCTCTATCGATTACCAGAACGCCTCCCCGGGCGAAGCCGCCAGCCAGGGCACCGGAAAGAAAGATCCCCGGGTCCTGTAGGCTCTGCCGCGTTTCGCTCTCGTCCTTCAAGATGTGATGGACAATCCATTTGAAGCCGTTGTAGGTGTGGGTCAGAACCTCGAACATCCCCCGCAGAGGGTCAGGGAGGAGAAGGGAGTGTGTAACAGGACAAAGTGATTTCTTTCTTTCTCTATTTATTAAGATAGAGAGAAATAAATCGGAGGTGAAAACTCCCGTTAACCCCGTAAATGGGATCGTAAGTAGTCATAAAAAAAAAGAGGAGGAACCAAAAACAAAGTTGTGTCATTGTAGAAATGCTATGAAAGCGGATTGGAGTAATGAAAATCAGCGCCTAAGTGATTACCAATAACTAATCATTTTTTAGTATTATGAGTTAACTATTACAAATAGGCTACAGTACTTGGTCATTTTGCCTTATTGAAATATGCCAGATTTTGAATTATTTACCCATCAAACTATATACCTCCCACTCTCGGATATATTCACCCAGTACATGAAGCAGGTAAGGAAGTCAGCGCTGCATTTACTCGTTTAAATAAAGACAAATAGAAACGGCTACACCATAAATACAAGATTCTCCATCCGGAGACATTACTTGTTTTATTTCTTTAGTTCAGCTTCCCTTCCCCATCGTAGCCCTTTGGATGAAGTTTATTGCTGCGCTGATTAACCCTAAGTTGGTGTTTTTTAAAATCTCCCTCAGATTGCTTGAGGGTCTTAGCATCTTGTCTTTCCTGCATAGCTGCTAATTCGTGATATTCTTTCTTTGCGAGGGCCATCTCCTCATGTTTGGATGCTAAAATCATCCGCCGCTGCTCGGTCTCCTCCGCAGCCTCGCGAGGGCGGGGATGAGGAACATCCGCCTCGCGTTTCAGCAAAATTCGCTTCTTCTTCTTTCCTCCTTCCCGATTGTCTTCGTTGTTTACCAAAACAATTTGCCCGCATTGCGCTGTATTTAATACTGAGGGTGGTCCCGAATTCGGATCCTCGAGTGAACAGCTATAAAATTCCTGATATTCAGGCCCTAGAAGAATTTTCTCGTGATCAGACTCTCGCATGTGATCGCGTAGGGCGCTTAACGACGCGAAGGATCGCGTCTTTTCATTGCAAACCAGGCACACCAGGCCGTTTACCTTACGTGATAAATACCCCAAAAGCCCATCCACATCCTGGCAGTGTGGCTGCATTGGAATAAAAAAATTGTGAATCTTCTGCAAATGCCCCACATTCTCAACACTATCCGGTGAAAGATACCCACAGAGGAAGCATCGGCTTTCATCCACGTCCTTTTCGCGGTCTTCCGGCGTGACTTTGGGGTGATATTTGGCTTTCCCGGCCACTTCCTGGGCAAGCCGGCGCAGGGCGGCGCGTTTGGCGTGATGCCGACGGTGCAGGCCCATTGCCGCGCTCCCAAGAGAGGTGCTGGTGAGCATACTCGCGGCCTCGGAGTCGCGCGCGAGGATGTGCTGCTCCTTGAGCATCAAATGCGCGGTTGAGCGAACGTGCGCCTGCAGCGTCTGAACGCAGTGAAAGGACTTCTTGCAGAGCGTACAGGAGAAAAGAGGGGGCCCGTCCTCACTGTCCAGAGCACTGTCTTTATGGCTGTTGAGGACACCCGTGCTGCGGAGCTCCTGGTGGGACAGCGGGCGGAGCCCCTCCACCCGGCGGCCCACGTTGAGGATGTGGGCCTCGGAATTGTAGTGGGACCGGAGCGCATCAGTGCTGGTTAAAACAATATTACATGCACTACAACGAGTCATGGTTTTAAAACTTATCTATCGAATATTGAAAAAATAAAAAATAAAAAAAGAGATCCAAGGGGCCAGATTATAATAAACAGACAAATGTAGTCAAAAATGAGAAATTGCTGAAAAAGCGTTAAGGAGTTTCGTATGGGATTTGATTTTTCTTCAAACATATTTTGAATTTAAGATTTATAAACAATAACAATCTTATGATAGAAATTTTATTCTGGGGGCATGTGAAGCTTAACTAATATTATACTATGCTACAGAATATCAACAACATTCGTTTACTATGTTGACAATGGTAAGTCTTTTTTTTACTAGCCTGCCCTGTTCATTGAAGAAAAAGATAGGAGTAGACTCAGGCAACACTAAACCTTATAATAGTCAATATTAGAAATAATGCCGCATTGGCGTGCCGACAGAGATACAGAATAAACATAAGCGCTCTCAAGACGAGCTTTTGCTCATTAAATTATAATACACAAGTTTAGATATTGTTGGCATACCCAAAAAAGGTAAACTCCTAAAAAATATTCCCTTGTAGGAATGTTTAATAAAACAAATAAAGACACAGATAATTGAATACTTCAGCAAAAGGGAAATAATAACCATGAGTATAATATAATTTCAAACGTTTAAAATAGAACAATATCGATACATAGAAACACACCTAAATAAATAGCGATTTATTTAGGTAGGCATGTCGAAGGTAAAGTTCTTTTTATTAATGATAATAAATTGGCATGAGAACTTTTAGATACAGAAATACACCAAAAAAATGTATACATACTGCAGGCGCCTCATTTAAAACCCTGGAGAATCAGTTATCCTCACAAACCCTAAACTAAATTTTCTATCGCCAAATCGCCTAGCGTTGTTAAAGTATGGATCAAAGATCCCGATTTTTTTCTTTTGTAGAGAGGGCACTAATACTATCATCAAAGACTAAGCTTGCGGGTTCTGGAAAAAATCCCATCAAGCGATAAAGCCAAACCTTGAGCTTAGTATGACAAGCATCTTCGGATTTCAAAAGCAGTTTATACTTAGCTAACATCTCCGCGCGGAGAATATTTCGGCGGTTAATTTGAAATATATCTCGTAAACACTTCAATATAATCCAAGGCATTGTTAACGCAATCGTAATTACCGCCACTGCGATAATGTATTGAGGGCGAAAAGTCTGTAGAAAGACTTCAAAATGCGTATGAAAGTAATGCTCCGAATACACAAAGGTAGCCAACGTATAAAAAAAGGGCAAAATAATCATGATAAGTAAGTTTAAGATCGTAATGGAGTTGGACTCTGTGTAGATTACAATTATCTGAGAGAATAAGATACTTGTATAGGCCGCGCAGAATGAAGTTTCAGACGATATCGTCTCACCACCCTGCGCAAACACAAAGGTACTATCGAAAATATTCGACACCAACCAAAGTAAGAAGATGGATTGAAGAATTCCTCGCAAGAGATAGGAGAAAAAGAGCTCTTTGAAGTTCAGATCCATTCCTTTGCGTGTGAGGTTGTAGAGTGAGGGAAAGCGCTCCAGCACCACACGCGGCGCGCAGCGATCGAGGGTGTACAGCAGCGTATGTGGGAGCGTGTAGACACCATTCCACATGAATAACATAAAACCACTCCAGAAACTTTGCCCTGAGAAATGTGTATAGACTGAGGTATACGCAAGTTGCGTAAAGGCGATAAGCATCGACTTGTAGAAGCTATACTTGATCAGGTACGCCGTGCGGACGTAGGCAAGCTGTCCATGACAAAAAATTAACGACCGCAGGTTGTCAAACCGCGGGATGGCGAAGTCGGCGGCGCGGGCGGCCTGCGCGCCCTCCCGCCCGATGACCCCGACCCCAACGTTCGCTTCTTGGAGCATCGCGACGTCATTTCCGCCATCCCCAACGGCCAGCGTGAGTCCGCCGCGGCGGCGTAAAAGACGGCAAATTCCCGCCTTATGCCCAGGCGTTGCGCGCACGACGAGGACGCTCCGGCAGTTCGCCCCGAGCTGCGCCAAGCCGTCGGCAAGGGCATCGTCAGCCAGGACGCCGTCGAGCAGGTGCCCGCCCTCCACCACCAACACGTCCGGCGGCACGAAGGAT